GTTGGAAGGGACCTTGTAGGCCATCTAGTCCAACCCCCCTGCCCAAGCAGGAGACCCTGCACCATTTCTGACAGAGGGCAGTCCATTCTCTTCTTGAAAGCAGGGGAGGGTTGGTCTAGATGACCTACAAGGTCCCTTCCAACTGTTAATCTGTTAAACTCTATTTCCCAAATGACACTATTGAAAATTCTGCCTTTTCCCAAAAATAAACAAGATCCAGAATGTTTCAGCGGATGAGCCGAACAGTTCAATTTAATGCTCTTATTCCTCCAAAACTGTATTCTTTACACCAAGGACAACAATGTTTGCTTGTAGAGACCTGTTTTTTTGTGGGGTTTTTTTTCCAGGTAGACTCAGAGTTACTAGATGGAGATACAGCTAGTAGTTGGATCAATGCTGCTCCCCCCACCCCCACCCCCCACCCCGCAAGTCAAACCTCCTATTTACAAAGCTGCCTGTCTGGGGAATTAAGTCCTTTTGATGGGTTTGCAAGGGGATGCATTAAGAGCAAACTTCCCCCACCCCCCCAAAAGAATAACCAGATCGGCCAGGGAAAGCACAATACAAGAAGATCAGCCACTAAGAGCCCCATAAAGAAGAGCGAACTTCCATCTCTAAATCCTGGTTAGACGTCCCACTCTTTGTGAGCAAAATGTTTTTCTTGTAATCCTCTAAAGCAGGCTGGCCAATTGCCAAGCGCTGTGTCTTAACTAGTTAGCAGATCTGGCGTCACACCATTAAGCCCCAAGGGCGCAATGGCGGAGGCCGAGAATGGAGAGCGAAATCCTGCAGGGGAGGGCTGAGGTGGACTCTACAGAGGCCACCTCTATGGCCCCATCCACACCACGGATGGGGCTGGTTTCGTAGAACTGAGGGCACCATAATGCCGCTGTCAAGGTCAGGGAGCGTGGCCTGAAATCCAGGTGAACGTTGGCATGGGTTGAGTTTGATAGTTTTAAAATGATGGTATGTGGCTTTTAGTTTTTGATTGGGAGCTGCCCAGAGTTGGATGGGCAGGTATATACATGTTTTAAATAAATGGATGGATGGATGGATGGATGGATGGATGGATGGATNTATATATATATATATATATATATATATATATATATATAAACATGCACACAAAATATACACATGAATACATGTACAGTTTATAAATATGCGCATAAGTAAACACATATACATATGTAAATGCAAATACATGTATGAATATACATATATATTTGCATTTACATATATATGTGTTTACTTATGCGCATATTTATAAACTGTACATGTATTCATGTGTATATTTTGTGTGCATGTATCTGTGTGCATATGCACATATACGTATTAATTTGTATATGTGTACATCCGTGTCTATGTGAATTTATATGTCTGTATATGTGCATAATGTGTGCTGTCCTGAAAGCAGCTTCCCCAACCCGGCGCCCCTAGATGTGCTGTGGGAGGGGGACAACAACTGGGGCAGACCCCCATAACCCACTTTGCAACCCGCCCTGTGCGGCCGCCAAGAGAACGCGACCAGCAGAGGGCGCCCTGTTGGGGAAAGACGAAAGGAACTAAAGCTTCCCTGAGGCGGAAGAGAAGGCGGAGAGGAGGAGGAGGAGGCGGGGCAAAAGGAGAAGGCGGGGCGAGGAAGCTCAACCCCCTCCCCCGCGCTCCTCCCTCTTTCTCTCGCTCACCCCCCTTCCCGGAAGTTCCGTCGCCAAAACCCGTCCGACGCTCAAAGTGGGGGGGGGGGGAAGCGCCCCGCTCCTTCTGTTCCGGTATCCATTCGGTCCCCACTCCCTGAGCTCTGACCCTCGCTCGCCTCGAAACCCGGGCAGGCTCGGCGCGTCCGCGGAGCGTCCCGAGGGACCTCCGGGCGGGCTGTGGGCGGAGCAGGAGGAGGAGGAAGGGGAGGTCGCCCGGCGGGGAAGGGGCGGTGTCGCCCCGCCTGCCGCCCGCGCCACGTCTCGGCAGGAGGAAGAGCGCCTCGAGCCGAGCCGAGCCGGGCAGGTCAGCGGGGCGAAGGGCCGAGCCGTACCTGGGAATGGAGGGAGCGAGGTGGGTGGGTGGGTTTGAAGGCCTGCAGGGTTGGGAGGGAGGCTCAAACTCTCCCCCCCCCCTGTGTCTGTCTCTCTGTGTGTGTGTATGTTTATAAAAGTCACACCCTTGTGCAACACACACACACCTCCGTGTCTGGGGGAGACTGGGAGGGGGCTCCCCCTCTGGGGATGTGGGTGGGAAGGGTGAGGATGGCCTGCACACGTGTATTGCAATACACGCGTATCTCTCTGGGTCCTTCCCTTGTGGGGGTTGGTTTGTGCTTGTGGGGGTGTTTTTGTGGGTTGCGTTGTATGAAATGGGTTCTACAGAGCTGGGTAGGGGTGAGTTGGAGAGTAGGTGTGTATGTGTCTTTGTTTGTGTACCTATGTGTATGAAGTTGGTTTAGGGGTTATGTAGACCTAGGAAGGTTTAAAAGTTTGGTGTGTGTGTGTGTGTGCATCTACAAAGTTGATTATATGAGTGATTTGGGGGCATCTTGGTGGGTGGGTGTGTACTTGTGTGTATCTGTGAACAAAGTTGCTTCATGCATTGTAAGGTTTGATGTTTGTATGTGTGTGTGTATACATCAGTTTGAAGTTGATTTATGGACTATATAGAGCTGGGTAGGTGTGATGTAGGGTGTGAGTCAGTGGTGGGTCTCATTTTTTTTTAGAACCTCTTCTGTAGGTGTGGCCTGCTTTGTGGGAGTGGCTTGCTGGCCCGGTGGGCATGGCCAACTTGTAAAATGTGATGAAACTCACTTAACAATGCTCTTGCTTAGCAACCAAAATGTTGGCTCAGAAACTCTGGCACTGAAGTGTGCAAGTCTTAAAGCTGTCAAGTTACAAGACCCTTGCACCCCTAACCCTTTAGAACCTCCCCCCCCCCAGGAGTGTTCAAACTTGACAGCTTTAAGACTTGTGGACTTGAACTCCCAGAATTCCTCCACCAGTCATGTTGGCTCAGGAGCTCTGGCATTGAAGTGTGCAAGTCTTAAAGCTGTCAAGTTACAAGACCCTTGCACCCCTAACCCTTTAGAACCGCCCCCCCCCGGTGTTCAAACTTGACAGCTTTAAGACTTGTGGACTTGAACTCCCAGAATTCCTCCACCAGTCATGTTGGCTCAGGAGCTCTGGCATTGAAGTGTGCAAGTCTTAAAGCTGTCAAGTTACAAGACCCTTGCACCCCTAACCCTTTAGAACCGCCCCCCC